GAACCCAAAAAAACCCAAGAAAAATCAAGCAAAAATCCCCATATTCAATCAATGAACGACAGAATATTCAATGGAAAATTTGAGGAATTTTGCATCCCAAGAAAATTCGAGCAAATTATAGCAAAAATAATTGAAATTCGACACGCACCACCAATTACTTGTATTTTAATTTTTTAATTTAGGTAATTACTTGTATTTTAATTACTTGTAAGAATTTAGATCTAGTTTTATCTTTTTTCAAATTTCAGATCTAAATACTTGCATTGGACAAGGGAGCAGTGGGTTTGTGCACTTGGTTTAATTGGTGGTGCGTGTGGGTGTTGGTGTTTGGTGGATGAATTGTTTTTGAATTGGTGGTGCGTGTGGGTGTTGGAGCAGCGGCAGTTTGGTGGCGAGAACAACAACAAGATTGTAGTATTTTTTATTTATAAAAAAAAATGTAATATTATCACAATTTATTAATGAAAATATATATTCTTATACGTATGTTTAGTTTTTGTGTATTAATTGATGTGAAAAAAGAAAGAAAAAAAAATTATTTTTTAAAGGCATAATGGGCAGCTGTTTAGACATTAAATCACTTCCCATTTGAAGGGGTAATGGGATGCCCCCCAAGCCAAAGCGGTTCAAATCTGCTTCCCATTTGCTTTTTTCTACTAGTGAGAACCCATGGAGCAAAAGCCAATTCTCCATGCCATTGTGTGGGCATTGTTGTTGATAGTTCTTGAATCTCTCCCAAGCATCATAGAGTGACTCATCGGGCTCTTGTTGGAAGTTTGGTATTTTGGACCTCAACTCCGCCGTTTTCGCAAGAGGGATGAATCTTCCAAGGAACGTCAAAGTTACCTTATTCCATGTGTTTAATGAGTTTGGAGGCAACCTATCAAGTCAATCACTTGCCTTCCCCGTAAGAGAAAACTTGAACATGCTCAACAAAATGTACTCCGGAGTCACACCATTCGCCTTCACAGTGCTACAATACCGTGTGAATTGCTTGAGAAGCGCAATGGGATCCTCACGTTTTACCCCGGAGAATTGGTGATCCTCTATCAAGGTGATAAGGGCGGGCCTTATTATCTTAAAATTATTTGCTTTGGTAGTAGGAGTAGCAATCCCACTTGCTTCTTGATATGGTGGAGGAACACCAAACCCTCTCAAGGTTTTATTTGGAAGAGCCATTTTAAATTGATGGAGAGGTGAAGAAATGGGGGAATTAGTCCTTGGTGATTCTAGTGGAGTGGAGTCTCCATTGTAGTCACTAGAACTAGAATGATCGGATTCAACTACTACTTGCGATTCGCTTGAAGTAGCAATACTTGCTCTCTAGCTCCCTCTTTTCTCTTTGGTTTGCCCTTACAACCTTTTCGAGCTCAAGATTAAATGGCACAAGAGGAAGTGCTTTATTGCTGCGTTTGGGCGTAAAACAAAGAGAACTAGATGGGAGATTAATAGGTTAGTCAAAGAAAACAAAGAAAAATAAAGCAATAAAAATGAACTAGTCTCACATATTTCATAACTCAATGCTCAACGCCATTCCCTGACAACGGCGCCATTTCGGTAGAGGGATAAATCGGTCGTTGGTCGAATACCTTAAAACTAAACAATATTTCTACCTAAACCAACCTAAGACAATTATAGGGTAAGTAAAGGATCGTATCCACAGGGAATGGATATAAGTACAACAAGATTATGAAACGGTTGTAAGCTAGTTCGGTTACAAGATTGGGGTTTTGATTAATTAACTACTATGGAGACAAACACTAGGGGGAAATGGGAATCGACACCAACCAAATCAATAGATCAATACAACAGGCAAACATGAACACAAATTGGGTGATAGAAAGGGCACTCAACAAATCGAAGCGACAACACTAAGCATTCCTAAACTAAACTCAACTAACAAAATAGGTCAACCAAGTCTTAATGATGGTAAGTAGATTACTAACTCGGGTTTGTCTTTCGATCGGTTCGAGAAAGCATTAAGGCACTAGTAATTGGGGATTTCTCACCTAATTATCGCAACTAAGACTACTACATCATCTAAACAAGGAACCGTAATCAAGATAGGATTTTAGCACAATCATACAAGAAGAGGCTCACAAGTAGACCTCATCTTTCAATGCAAGCATAGAAGTGAATACATGAGCAATAAGTGGCCATCCAATTACACATGCAATTAACCAATCCTTTAACAATCAATCATAAACCTAAAATGAACATGCAATCACAAAGATCAATCAACCTATGGCTTGGTTTGGTCTTTACCCAACCCCTAACTAAGAAACTGGTCACTAATCGTAGTGTTCAACATCCTAACAGCGATGATTAAATTCAACATTAATCTAGCAAGTTAAAAGAAGTGGTAAGAACAAGGTGGATTGAATATGCAACAACAATTAAGCAAACTTAAGAGAAAAATTAGCACTTCAAAGTAAATAAAATCAGAAAATTAAGAGAGAGAGAGAGGAAATAGATTACTTAAGATGCTTCAAAGTTGAGAAACTCTTGAATTCAAGAGAACAAGTTTTAATTAACTATTATAATGATTGAGTTTTGAGAGAATCTAAGCTAATTTAAGAGAGAGTTCTAAGAAATTAAGGGCCTAAGAAGTCTAAAGGGAAGAAGGTCTATACAAATGAAGCCACATGGTATTTATACCCCCAAAAATTACATAGGAAATCCATCAAGAAAATTGGGATTACAGACAGGAGCACTCGCTCCATCTATTAGGAGCGCCCGCTCCAGCTGCAGCAGGTTGGGGCAGAAAGTAAAAGATCATGGAGGAGTGCCCGCTCCTCCAGTGGTGCACGCCCGCTCCTTCCTTGATGCATGTCTCCTTAAGGGAGTCTTCATGTTCATGATAAATCTTCAATTTCTCACTGCATCTACAAACACGAACACACACATAAAAGGGAATAGGAGAGCCAAAAGTTATAATCATGCACAAAAGAAGTTAAAAGGGATTAAAGTGGGAGAAAATGACTATAAAATCGGGTTAAAAATGCCATGATAAGTGGACAAATAAAACACTTATCATACTAATAACTTAATACGAAGTAAGAAATAAGTTTAGTTGAAGTGTTTCTCAAAAAAAAAAAAAAAAAAAAAGTTAGTTAAAGTGATAAAGATTCAAGTGAAATAACTAAAGTGGTTTACTTTCTTATTATACTTTTTTTTCTTATTATACTTTCAAGTAATACGTAATTATTATTATTATTATTATTATTATTATTATTATTATTATTTTCAAACAAATGTAATTACTCATTTTTTTTGTTGATTTTTTTAAAGCTTTTCCTTTTCCGTACGGAATTTATATTAGTTTCCAGCTAGTAATTGAAATGCCACCATTTCTCCAAGGAAGAAGTGCATTTCCAAACTAATTTATAGCTATACAAGAAATATAGTTGCCTTGATTGTGAAGTCAATGTTAGCAATTTATTATCTTTCACGTACCCCAAATATAATATCATCGAGCTTCAATCACCACTCACCAAAGTGTTCATGTTATGCATCTCTTTTTTAGTATTCTTAAACCTATAAAGCTACTCAAATTTTATTATCCACCATAAAACAGAATTATACGAAGTATAGTTACAACAAACTTTGGGAACACATGACAGAATATTTTATAGGTCATGGCCTCATGGGTGGGAATTGGGAACGCACCATGAATCCTCTTTAATGTCAACCTTTAAAACTTCTTCTTATGTGCATGATGATTTAAAGAGAGAAGCAATTGTTAGTTGGTAAAGTACAAGTTAGTTAAACTAAATTTATGGTAGGAAAAATTGTTTTTTAATAATCTCATCTTTGACCGGTTCATTGTTAATAACCACCTTTTGATTATTATCTAATAATTCCTTCTTTATAGGACATTCTCTTCTACATATCTGTTGTGACTGATAACCTAAACATTGGGTAATTTTTTATTTTTTTTATATTATTGAAGTTACACGTGTCACTACATGATTGGTAAAAAAAAAAACTAAATTTTTTTTTAAAAAAAAAAAGAAAATAACTAACCCCAACCCAACCCCCACCTCCCCTCCGGCAGCCCCCTCTCCCCACCTCCCACTACCAAAACCCCCCTCCCCACAACAGCCCCCGGCGACCCACCTTCACCGCCAGCACCCCCTCCCTTTCCCCCTTATATCCCGTCGCGACCACCCACCCATACCACCAAAATCCTAACGAAAAACCCACCCCCTCCATTACACCGCCACGAAACAGCCCCCTTCCCTTTCCCACACCCCAAAACGGTGAGGGAGGGCCAATTTGGGGAGTGTGAAAAAGAAAGGGGGTTGTTTCGTGGTGGTGGAAGGGAGACGGGGGGTTTTTCGTTAGGGTTTATGTGGCGCGGTAGTGGAAAGGAAAAGGGCTTGGTCGGCCGGCGTAAGGGAGGGGGTTGGGTCGGCCAGCGCTCTGGGGGAGGGAGGGGCTATTAGCGTGGAGGTTGGGTTGGGATAGGGGGTTGGCTACTTTTGTTTGTTTGTTTTATTTATTTATTTATTTATTTTAATAAATTTCAACCAACCATAAAGTGACAATCAAAACCGGTTACCAATAGGAGACTAATAGAAGAGAATGTCCTATCAAGGTGAAATTATAAGATAATAATAAAAGAAAAAAAAAGTGAAATTATTAATAACGAACCGATTAAAGGTGCGATTATTATAAGCAATTTTCCTTTATTTTAAGAGATAACTTGATGATTAACATTATTTTTAACCCTACCAATGTGTTTTATCACTATGCGTGCTGATGGCCCAATGGCCAATGCTAGGTTCAACAATGAATAGGCTTATTAATCCAATAATCCTGACACTCTCTGTACCAGGTAGAATGGTTATAGACTTCAAGGAATTCCACTCTCTTAATTACTAGATACAAGTACCAGATACATGTAACAATTTAAAAGTGAACCAGATACGCAACATAAGTCCTCTATAACTCCATTTTCGTACTAGAATCTTAAGCTACTTTAGAAGTGAACCAGATAAGCGCGATCAAATGTAACATTGATAGATATGGTCATGAGATGTTTTAGAATGAAATTATTAAGAAATTACACTGCATGAATAGCATCAGTAGTCCTGGTTGCACAACATACTCTACTGGTCTACCCCTTAATTATGCATTCTTATATTTCTTTGCTTTGAATTCTTACAGTATCTGAAAATGATACTGTGTAGGATGCATAAAGGAAGATCCAAAGGCATATCTGTTTCGATTTATAACTCGCATTTTAGAGATTTCATAGGTATGGTGTTTTGGTAGTAACCTTTTGTCAGAAATATCAGTCTTGGGTCAAGTTTCTCTAGAATCCTGGTGCCCATTGGATCAGTTGGTTCAGTTAATTGATCCAAGCTGCCAACATCACTTAATCCTGTCATTGACTTCCCATGGTGCAGTGATGCCATTTTAACCATATCAAATGCATGGTGCTGTTATTAAAGTGCTTCGGATGTCAACAACTCCTTCCTATGGTGCAGTGACACCGTTTTTACTATAAACAATACATGGTGCTGTTATGAAGCTGCTACGAATGTCAACAGCTCCTTCCAATGATGCAGTGACGCCATTTTAACCATAAACAATGCATAGTGCTGTTATGAAGCTGCTTCGCATGTCACCAGCTCCTTCCAATGGTGCAGTGATGCCATTTTAACCATAAACAATGCATAGTGCTGTTATGAAACTGCTTTGGATGTTAAAAGCTCAAGCTGTTCCATGATTAGATCAGCTTTGCTTTTGCTCCTAAAAGAACAGCCAAAAATCATTGAGGTAAGTGAAAAGAGGATCAAACAATAATAAGTGGAGGAAACTGCCAAAGTTAACCTCATATCTATTGCCTCATTTTCCTCATTTTCCTCTAAAGATAATGTTGATGATGTAACATTAATCCAATCCATCACTCATGTTCTGTTTGTCCTCTTGTTCATCATCTTTGAATGGGTGCCAGAAAATTTCTTCACCAAATATCATAATATATGGATTACTAAATTCTGGATTACCAGACCATAATGATATGGCACCCGTCACCATCCTCCATTGGGTTTGTTCGTTCTGATACAGTACAGCACCGCACCACATCACATATCTTGGCACATTTCCTATTCGAGCTGAAGAAAACTTTCGAAAATGTTGTTGACGTTGATACAATATGGTCCTTCAAACTTAAGAACGAGTAACATGACGTTAAAGATTACATATGGTGTCGGAGAAACCACCTCTGCCTTTCCTTCCTCCAACAGCCTAGCAAAAACAGAGGCCATTCAATTAGATAGGTTACCACCCTCACAAACAAAAGCATCATAATCATTAGCAAAACACACATATAACACTAAAAATATATGTAGTATGTAAAATATCGAGTTTTAGTGAGAAAAGAAAAATCAACAGCCTAAGGCCGCACAAACAAATGCCATTAAGTTTCACAATGCTTGCATACAACAAAAAAGTTCCGAAATCCAGTAGGGTAATTTATCATCTGCCATACAATCTCATAAGTGCATAACCTCAATACAAAAACACTAGTAATATAAAAATGAGCCTTGTAAAAGAATGAACTGAGAACCAGCAAATATCAACAATAACCTACGTGTAATCCCTGTATAAAATTAAAAAACCTTATTTCAAAATAAACAACAGAGATGCAAAAAAAAAATACTCCATAAATAAAAGCTCAGATTATGATGTTAGTATGTTACCACTCTGGAACATTTTGTAGGGCTTTCAGCAGGCAGAAGAACTCAAACTTTGCTTGGAAGGATATGTCGCAAAAATCTGCCTCCACATGTTCCAAGTCATTCATAACCATCAAAATATATAGGAATAATATGGAGCCTCTGCCAATTTGCATACAAATCTAGCAAGTGAACTACTTCATTTTATTTCCCTCCTAATCTACTACCAGGGTAACAAGTCATTCCCAGCAACACCATTAGAAGATCCATCCACACATGATATTGATTGGCAGCCGCACCTTGATGGCAACTGCTCAAGCGTATCAGCTAACAACTTGTCCAGAAAGGGGGGTGGGGGGGAGAACATCCAAAAGTCTTACGTGGACAGAGAAAAACCGATCAGGATGGGGCAACCGCCCAAAAAAACACCTCAAATGCCCTTCTTTCCACGTCATCTTTGGAGGATAATGCTAATAGTGTATAACAATTACCATCAATTTCTCCGAAATCAACTCTTGTTTCGAGCATCGCACAATAAATTGCTCCCGGCATAATCTCTTATTACTGGGTGCCAAAAATAAGAATATTAATCCACATTGCTGAAAGCCACACCACGCCAATATTATTCTTCTCTACCAGCTGTAATGGGGCCTTTGAGCATTTTCCCCTGCTCAATGAAAACACCAATAGATGGGGTCTTTTTGATATGGAACCCATGAGGTCCCCAGTGAATTCAAAATTTGGAGCCATTAACACCTATGCTATGATATGCATGGCTTTTAAGCAACCACATCTATCCTTCCTCCCACAATCTGGTAAAAACAGAAAAACTCATTTAGATGGTATCACAATACACCAAAAACAAAAGCATCTTGATAACCAGCATTTAAACATAGGAAACAAAAGAAAGGATAAAGATAATCTGTTTTATACTTATATGCCCAAGTAAAATATCAACAATAAAAGCCTTCGTGTATACATGACATCAAAACTTCATCACACAAAAACTTTAATTAACTCATTATATGCACAAGCACAACAGAAAAGGTTATACAGCTTATACCAAGTAACACAAGTAGGTAGGAATCATATGATCGCTGAACATTAGTAATGTGACTATACAGAAGATATAAAGACTGGTGATGAGGATAATCAGCTAAAGATCTGACATGCCAGAATGTATGAACCACAGAATCAGCACACTTAAGACTTTCAACATAAAATTATAAGAGAAAAACAAAATATTACTGTGTTTATGCTTGCTTTTAGCCTAAATCAGAATGCATTATATGATCAGGTACAATTTTCTATAAACCCAACTCTTAGTATAAGATTTTCTATGATGAAGTGTAGCAATTCAAACAATGTAAGAACAGAAAATAAACCAAACTAAGTTGTATGATAAACTTGTGTTAGTCTCAATATTGAATTACTCACAGGCAACATTCGTTTAGGTCCATGACCACAATGTTCTATAAACCCAACTCTTAGTATAAGATTTTCTTCTAAGAGTGCATCTATGCATCGTGTTTTGTGTATTCTATGTTGGGAGGACTTAAGAGCAAGGCGACTAGGGTAGTTTATCCATTAAACAGTATAAGTGCATCATAACAAGTCTCTAATTGCAATTTCTTAGAGCTAGGCACCAATACTCTAGCTCGTTGGTGCTCAACTCACCTATTTCCATACAAAATAGCTCAAGAAGATCAATCTACAATTCGATATAGTATAGCAATCACACCAATCAGAATAAAGGCTGTCAGGTATAGTTCAAACATCATCATTTACCGAGAAAAGGTTAATCTCAACTTCCCAATACTACAAAGTACCAACACAATCTTATTAACAATAGTACATTGCAATAAAGAAAAACGAAGCAAAGAAGTAATAAGAAAAAATGTGCACCAAAAAATGAACTAGATTGGACTGAAAACCAAACTTTACCCAATCCACTTCAGTACACCCGTACTTAAGTACACTAATCGTCGAAAGTGATTCATATACTCAAACACACATCTTAGGACTTGTTTTGTTGACAAAATAAAACATAGGAAATTGAAATTCCTAGGATTTGAAATTCTTTCATGGTGTTTGGTTGACAAATTCATGGGAAGTAGAAATTTTTCACTTTCCAATGGAGGAACTAAATTACCTAGGGGGACCTAGGTAAGTGGAACTTCCCATGGAAAATTTCCACTTTCCTTGATTAACCAAAACACTTTTTAGAATTTCCTAGGAAGTTCAATTTCATGGAAAATCAAATTTTCAAAGAATTTGCAATCCCTACAAACAACCAAACAAGCCTATTATCACAACTAAGCTAATCACATACAAAAAAATCGAGGTATTTAGAATACTTACAATACGTCCAAAAGAAATCATCTTTGATTCTTTTCCATCACATATTCACGATATTCTGTTGTACTCCATAAGCCCTGCAATCAAATTAGAAACATTAAATTAATACAATAAGATCAAATTACAAAAGAATAACATTACACATTAGACAAAATTAAAACTCAAAGAATATTTCAATAAATAAACCTTAAACTATAACTCAAAGTACATAATATTTATATAAAACATATACTCAATAATTAAAACCCAAAAAATATCAATTATAATAAATAGAAATAGTAAAACAAAAATAATGCATCAATATGCCGAATTTCAGTATTTTCACAAAAAATACGTGTAGATGAGTAGAAGCAACATGTTGATACGTGGCATTTGTCAGATACTGTAACTAATCTCAGATCATACGGCGCCGTAGACGCCATTAACGCCTTAACGACACAGATCAATACGACAAACCATCACACACAACACGACATTCAATACACATTTTGCAAGGATAAACAAAAAAAAAATGAATATAATCGAATAATACTAATTATAAAAAATAAAAAATCCTATGAAATTGAATAAATAAAAATAATGATTGTAGTAAAAACTCACCCAGTGTGAAAATTGATAGAAAATTTGGTTCAACCCAAACTTCGCAAAAACAATTCTCATTACTTTCATCGTCATCATCATCAAAGTATAATTTTTTTTTTCTTACATCGTACTACATCATATAATATACTGATATAATATACTATACTTTATACTTTTTTTATGGAATATTCTCATAAAAAAAATAATATCCTATAACTTTGTTCTTCTTCAACAATTTCAATCCAATTGAAACTGAATACTATTGCCAGTGATTTCCATTGTGAATGAGGTAAACATGGCTGGAATTCCGGCAACAATGATGACAATTTCTGTTAGCAGATTGCGCATAGCAAACTGGGTACGCCATCACTGGCGGTACAACTCTAGGCGAAGCAACTCTTGGTGAAGATCCGGCAGCTGAGAATGAAGATGACGGCGAAAGCGATTTCGGCGAGAGTGATTTCAGTGAAGCTGGAGGTGATAGACTTGATGTCGTTGTTTTCGACGATCGAATTGGGGAAAGGAAAGCTCTAACTTTCATGGAAGAATTTGATGGAATACGGTCGTATTCTTCGATCAAATTAGTGAGATCTTCGTCGGATTTGATGGATACTAAAACATCAAGATCTTCGGTTGGTAGTTGACACCTTAAACTCACTGATTCGCCGCATAATTCTCCCATCTTTTTCATCAATTCTGTAATCATAAACCGAATAATCCGTCAGCAATTTGCAATTTCTCAATCAACAAATTAATCATACACTTCATTATTCACAGTTCAATTGACAAACGATTGGCGACTTTTCGGTCAAATTCATACTAAACTAAGAAATTCATCTCACTGAAAGCATAATTGAAAGCCTAAAAATGCAATTAATAACTCATTTTCACACTTAAACTGATAAATGAAGCACAAAAACTAGGGTTTAGAAGAGTGAGAGGGAAAACTGACCAGAGAAAGAGATGGAGGGAGGAACAGCGAGAACACGAGTATGGCCGCCATGGTAACGGAGCTTGGCATCAGGATAACGAGGGAGGATTTTGCCGCCATAACTGCAAAGGAATTTGATACTGGATTTAGGGGAAAGAGGAGGTTCAAGTGAAGGTCTGGCCATTTCTGGATTTTGAATTCCGTTGATTACTGTAATTGGAAATGTTGTTTGTTTATTTGAGAGGAGAGAGAAAATGAGGCAGTTAGAAAGAGAAGTGAGAAGTGAGAAGTGAGAAGTTGTGTGTTCAAGCCTATGGAAGGTAGAAGGGAGGCGTTATTTATAGGACGAGTTTTGAGGGTTAGAATTGTGAGAGGAGAGAGAAAAGAAAAAAGGTTGAGGTAATAAAAAAGAGTAGAATGTAGAAAGACCAATTGACGTAAGTTGGTTACTCACTTGGTTTTTGTTTTCACTTGGGTAGTGAAAATTGAAAAGGATGGCCCTAATGAAGGGCCCAACCTCATGACCTCATCCTCTCTTTCATTTTTTAAATTTCGCACTTTATTGTATACGTCCCTCAATTAAGTCCTGTTCGGCAAAATTAACGGTAGCGGGTAACTTTTAGTGATTGAATAGCGGGTAGCTATTAATGTTAAGTAGCGGGTACCTTTTAGCAGTCGAGTAACGAGTAGCTGTCAATTAAAGTAGTGGGTAGAGGTTAGTTGTCTGTAGCGATTAATAGTATGAGTGTTTGATAAAACTAGCGGTTAAAATGTTAAAATATAGTAAAAATACATGCATAATATTTATAAAGTAAACAAAATTTGTCAAAAGTTACCCGCTACCTTTCAAACGCTAATATTATTGACGTTTGACAAAAACAACATAAACACTACATTTACCGCTAACCGCTACATGAATCGTCGCTACCTTACCAAACACACTTATTTTTTCCTACTAGTGTTTTTACTTGGTCCAAACGCTAACCGCTACCTAAAACGCTACTGTCAATTAATCACTAAACTAATCCATTTTGAAACAAAAAAAAAAACCTCATAATACTATATTTGCATAATAATAATAATAATAATAATAATAATAATAATAATAATAATAATAATAATGATGGTATAAATGTGCGAGAAACATTGAAATATTATACGAATATCAAAAACCAAAATATATACTTTCGAAAAAAAAAATTAAAAAAGTTTTTTCATCGATTCGAAACTTCTTGTTATGATATTGTAAGGTAATTGATGTGATTAGAATATTGATGAGGTTTTCTATAGTTTGAAATAAATCATAATATCAAGTATCAATTTCAAATGTGAAGATATAACTTAGGCCTACCAATGTAAAAGATTTATAAGTGTGTGGTTAAACTTAAACCTTGAACCCTCTTCCTGGAGTAAAAGATTTGAAATGTTAGATATGGCAATCAGCGGTTGTTGGCCTTGTTGATGGCTAACATATCAATTGCTAGTTATCTTGACTAACTAATTGTATTGGTTATTGTGTATAAACGTTTGGTTAATATATACGAAGTAGTAGTTACTCCATAGCTAATAAAAATCAGGTTACACAATTGTGTAAAATGATCATTAAAGCTTTGAATTTTTCGCTTGACAAGTAGTGGTTTGTTTTAGCTAACATCATATTAACTGTTACTCCCTCTGTATTTAAATAAATGAAAGATTTTTCTTTTGTAATCGTGTTTAAATATATAAAACGTTTCTTTTTTTAGTAACTTCTCTCCATTTTTTTTAATAATATTTTCTCTACTTTTTAAATATTCAACTAACTAATGGTGTACAAAGCCCCTTACTTTCTTCTCTCTCCTCAAATTTAAACCCCACTAGTTATTATTTTAATAAATTAACCTAACCTTCCTAAAACACCATGAAAGTCAAAATATTTCATTTATTTAAACACAGAGGGAGTATTTGAATAACAAATATGAAGAATATTGGTGACTATGTAAAAACGTTTTAGTAAATAGTTATTATATTAGCCGGTAATTATGGAGTACTACATTATTTTGTAAATTAATCATTCTAGACATTAGAATATTCCACTGTTGAAAAAATATTTAAATTCTTGGTAAATGATGCTCCGTACTTTGTACTATAGTAAATTTGACCAATTAATGATATAATAGTCATTTTACTGTATATCACTTACAAAAAACTAAGACGGTTTTTAAACTACCCATTTAAACATCACTTCTAATAATATAATCACCTTTCAATCAAACACTCTTATAATATAGCAGATTTGAATTAATCAATACCTCTTTTATGTAAAATTTCAAGTACTATGTACAATTTTGGACATGAGTGATCAAGATATTTAGGACAAAGCAAATCTGAGATATTTGATGCGTGGAGTACTCTATCATAAAAAGTTTTTTTGCATATCACTCACTTGTAATTACGTGTGTGGTGTAATATATCACTATTACATTTCACAAATTATCGAATATACCGACATAGACATCAATAAATTTAGCTAATAAAGTAAGATTAACTCCTAATTAATTAATTAAGTTCTAACTAAATTAATTAGCACCTCTAAGTATCCCTCCCACACACACACGGTCTCACATAACCCCACCATTAATGCTACTTACATGTGTCACCTGAGCATTCATCAGCCAATCGTAACCACTAATTGATTGAGTTACACCAATCAACTCGTGCAACTCACATGGAATTTGGCTAGTGCCACGACTATTACTTGAAAAATCCAACCTACTGTTGTATACATTTTTTATTTTTTTTTTCAGGTTTGTAATAAACGCGTAAACATAACTAAAATAGATCCCGTTTAAAGAAGGAATATACTACAAATACTAGAGATATTAGTTAGGCTTGAGGCTCGACCCCACCCTAAAATAGTTAGGTTAGTCACCACAATATGAGCACAAAATACAATAGCCAAGACAATTTTGTGTGAACAGAAACAAGATAGAAAGGTGGGCGAAATAATATACGGAGTAGCATAAAACTCCATATTTGGCATAGTAAAAGTAACACAAACAAACTCCGTATTTCATTTCTTTGAGATTGTGAAATTGAGCAAAACTAGACACAGAAAATGATTTAACTGTACTACCTGTATTTTTAATTATCAGATCAATTTTATACGGAGTAATCTTCTGTCAATATAATTATTTTTCTCTGTCTATATTTTATCCTAATCCTAAACTTCCCTCTTCCTTTCAATGGATTCAGTCTTCTATCTTCGTATGCGGAGAGATCGACAATTTAGTCGACTTCATATTTATTGTCAGTTAATTATCAGCACACATGGCGTGGGACCCTCATCTCCTCATATTATTCCTCCTCTATTAGGTAATGCTAGGCCCTATTATGTACTTCCATTTGTCAGCAAATGACTAGTGGCAGGTTTTATTTAATTAATCCCTCTGTCTCAAATTATTTGGAATGTTAGACTTTTTTCATTATTCATATATTAGTTTTGACCATAATTTTTTACTAATATAATAAAAATATATTTTATCATAGAATATGTCGTTAAATAAGTATTAATATAAAGTTTCATAATATAATTTTAAAAATAATTTTTGTTAATATTTAATCATACAAGCTATGAGACACACGATACGCGTGTACAATATAGGTAGGGCTGCAAACGATCCGGGTCGAGCCGAGTTTTAGTCTGTTCGAGCTAAACTTGATAAGAATTAGTTGTGTTCGAACTATCTCGAGCTTGAACGAGCTTTTAAAAATCTTGTTTGAGCTGGGCTCATTAAGAATTTGGCTTGTTCGAGCTTTGTTCACGAACGTACTCGTTTACACTTCGAGTTTAAGTTCGAGCTTAAACGGATTTAAATCGGGCTTGATTAAATAAACGAGCCCTAATTTATATCATTAAAAAATGGTTTCTTACAAATTTTAACACAACCATTTAATTTTATATAAGATAATGTTTATATTCTTTCTATAGAAAAAAATAATGACGGAGTTTTCATGTATTTACATGATAAATAATTAGTATATATGAATAAAAGATATATAAATTGTTCGAGTTTTAATTGGGTGTATAAAAACTTACTAATAGACTTAAACGAGCTGTTCATGAACATTACCGAGTCGAATATGATGTTGTTCGAGCTTTGTTCATCTATTTTACAAGCTTAAAATTTTTTGTTCAAGCTTGTTTGTTAGCTTAACAAACGAGTTTTGACCAAGCTTTGTCCGAGCTTGTTCGCGAGTAGTTCATGAACGTATCAGCTCATTTACACCCCTAAATATAGGAAATTATTATTTTATTCATAATATTGTTATTGTAAATTTTTTCGAAAATCTATACTTACATAAAACTTTAAATTAAAGGTTTAAATTAGAGATCGTAAAAAAATTAGGTAATAAAAATTTACTCCACTTCTTGTACCGTAACCTAAAAATATGGTTGTTGAGTTTTTTATATAAAAGATTCAAAGTAAACATCTATTGTAATACTACGTATATAGATAGATGTACATTTTTTTTTCTTTTTAATAGATGTAAATTTTTTTTTTTTTTTTTCTTCTTCTTTCCTTTATAACAGAGATGGACGTGGTATATGATGAATTGATGACTATATGGGTATTAGTATTCCTTTTTTTTAATAAAAATATGTACGGTTGTCTTTCAACAAATTTAACGTGGTTCCTTTCAATAAAAAAAAAGGAAAAGAAAAGAAAAGGTAAACGTGGTTTGTGGGTAGTTATAATAATAATAATAATAATAATAATAATAATAATAATAATAATAATAATAATAATAATAATAAGTAGATAATTTTGGTTTTTTTAAATTTTTTTTATGAAAATAGATGATTTAATCTTTTTTTTTTTATTTACTGAAGACCATAATTTTATCATTTTCAATCGTTATAAGACTTACATGCTAAATGTGGGTGGATCCGTGGATGTGATTTTTTTTTTTGTTTATAAAATTATTTATATTTAATATTGAATATATAGCAATCAAGTAGTATTTTTTAAATTATTTTATTTATAAACAATTATTTTTAAATTTAGTATATAAATAATGCAAATATTAATTAGTTGTAACTTAAAGAAAATTGAGGAATTGAAATATGTAAAATTACACGAGTTGACAAAAATACCCCTTCAACCTTGTGATTGATCGTTATTATATATCCATCTTTACAAAACTATTTTTAGAATATTAAAAGCGGTATTCAGTATAATTGAATAGTTTATTCCACACATTTTAAAATTATTACCTAATCCTAAAATCAAAATTTTCTACTCCATATCTTTTTTGGGTTTGGGAAGGTATTAACTAGGACTAGGAGAATGGTCATATTGTTGCTCCATTATTAATTATACAATTGCTTTTATATATATGTT